CACGTGTAAGTCTGTCTTGATCGTAGAAGTGTGGTTTTTCCACCCTCCATATTGATAGTTACAAGTTGTGTCTCTGAGGCACAAGTCCAAGTTTACAGGCTGGATCCATGCAGTATTTTTTGTGGTTTTGTTCTGTCTTATTTCCGTGGGTGAGAATAGGGCCTTAAGACAGATTTGATTCCACAGGTTTATAGGTACTTATACTGTGTTAGAGATTTCTCAGAGCCCACTTCTAGATTGTGCGTGTGTATTTATTTATTAATAATGAATCACCAGCATATAGATTTGAGGATCACAGTAATTTTTAACCTCATAAATGGAAGATGCTGACATTTAACTTTGTGAAAATTGATTCCTAAACAGAGGCCGGTAGATATAATACCAATGGGTCTGTATATGAGGACTTCAGGACGACAGAGGCAATGAAGGGAAGGACATAGCTGGTTACAGAGGGTGTCCACTAAGATCCAGATTTACTGCCCCGTTAATAGTGATCTCTCTGATTATTGATCATTGCCTAAATAAGTAAATGTTTCCCTCATTGATTATGCTCCTCCCTTCCATGGCATGGAATCCAGCCAACCTCAATGATCAGATCAGGGCAACTCCTGATTTGAATTACTGGATGATAAAAAGTCAGGCTTTCCAGGCTTAGCATCTTTTTCTTCCCCTTACACCTAATTCATTCACTGAAATTCACTCTTTCCATTGAATTTTTCTCAAGTTAATATGCAAATTCTCTTCCATTTTTGCTGTTTTCATCTTTTATTCATAACTTTATATTTCCCTTTTTCTGTTAGGGTGCAGTTTTCTCTGCTTCTCCTGTTTCAACCATGACTTCCATGAACTCCTGACCCTCACTGTTGCCTCCCTCTATCTCTTACGCAGTCTGCCCCTGGAGCATTTCCCTTCTGTTTTCACACAGGCTTATTTTTCTGTTTCCCAGAAACAGGACATTGAAACAAGTGTGCAGAGGGAATGGTAGAGTAATGACTGGCATCTTCTAAGAATTAGGACATTCCTACTGTTACTGTAAATATTGAGGATGCATATGACCCTCTTTTTGTCAGGATTCCAGATACAGATGAGTAACATTAAGGATCTTGGCAAAACAGAACTTCAAGCTAACTATTCCTTTCCTCTTTCTTTTAAATTTTCCCAAATATACAGTAAAAATCTATTTGGCATTTATTTTCTTTCGAAGATTTTATTAGAGAGGGAGCACGCATGCACAAATGAGGGTGGGGAGGGGCAAAAGGAGAGGGAGAAGCAGACTCCCCACTGAGCATGGGGCCTATTGCTGTGCTTGATCCCAGGACCTGAGATCATGACTGAGCCACCCAGATTTCCCCAACTTAGCATTTATTTTAAAATATGGAGTGTTTTGGAGGAATAAATGTATTTTATTCATATATATAATTATCAAGTCATTACTTTAAAAAAATGGGAGAGTACATAAGCATTTAGCAAACTGATTTTGTTTTGCCGTCTTGTTTTTATTTTTATTTTTTTACATTAGAATGATACCATTGCCATTTCTATTCTATACACATGTCTGCCAGTATCGTCACCACTCCCACTCTATGAAAAAGTGATCCTGTTTTCCTTCCCCTGGTACACTTTTTCATCATGTAGGAAATACCATGTCCCATTCTAACTCTTGGCATCATCACCCCTCTCACATTTCTCTCACTAGCGCTGGTAGTACTAGTACAGCTAGGATGGTACCACACAAAGGGCAGCACTTGCTTAATGTTGATCAGTTCTCTGTATTACTGTTCTGTAGTAAATGTCTCAGTGATATTTGATGAAACAGATGTGAGAATTGTTAAGACCGATGTCCTACAGATGCCTCACCTTAGTCAAAGTGTATATGAGTAGGCAAGAAGAACTGAGAAATGGAAGTTACTTACTGTATCTTTGGCTTATATAAATCTATAGAAGCATGGTTTAAAAACATATTTTTGTCTGTTTCAAAAATCCCATGAATTTGGTTACAGTAATTTGTAAAATTTGCTAAAACAGTTCAATTTTAAGCCAAGGCGAATAAATCTATAACTTGGGTATCTATAACTGAAATGCCTGTGCTCTAAATATGCATTTGCACATAGGAAATAAATAACATACTCTTTGACATTCCTTTTTTTTTCTCTCTTTGACATTCCTGATCTGAAAATAGGTAGTCCCTTTCCTTCAGTACATGAGATATCCTACATTTGAGAGCAGCTGTTAATGTTCTTCTGGTAAGAACTCTTTCGGTCAGAAAATCAGGTGGAACCCTCCAATTGGGTAGTTTGCAGTGTGTCTAACTTGGGAATTGTTTACAATGATGAGCCAACAGTGTTTTAGATTGAAATGTATCCTCTAAAAAAAAGATATGTTGGAGTCCTAACTCTTCATACCTCAGAATGTAAACTTCTTTGGATATTGGGTCTTTTTTAATGAAAATTATGATTTAGCTTAAATTCAGTTTGCCATCATATAGTATAAAACCACTCATCACATCACATGCCCTCCTTAATGCTCATCACCCCGTTCTCCCATCATCTCATGCACCTCCCTTTCAGCAACCCTTTATAGAGGTGATCAAGTTAAAGCCATTATGTGGTCCTTAATTCAATGACTGGTGTCCTTTGAAAAAGAGGAAACTTGGATATAGAGAAAGACATACACAGGAAATCACAATGTAAACCTGAAGGCAGAAATAGGAGTAAAGTGTCTACAAGCAAAGTAGTGCCACCAGTCGCTACCAAACCACTGGAAGCATGGAACAGATGACCCTTCCCACCATCAGAAGGAACAGATCATGGGGTTACCTTTGTAACAACACGTCCACTGGTCTTAAGGGTTAACTTTTCTCAAGCTATGCACTCCTTGCTTGCTGACCTGAGTTCCCAAGTTTTTAGCAGAATCTCTTTTCCTTGAGATTTTGCAAACCACTGGCATTGAGGAACAAAGGACCACACCAGACCACATCTGAAAATAGCCGCCATGGATACCAGCACATCAGTTCAGGTCATACTGATAGGTGATTAACTGCTGAGCGCCAGCTCCCCATGTGCATAGCCCCCTCACCATTTCCTCACCTTCCCTTTTAAAAGCTTCCTGCTGTGCCTAGACTGGAGGAGATGGGTTTGGGATGTTGGTCCACCATCTTCCTGAATAAAGCAACTTCTCCTTTCCCATCATCACTTGTCTCTCAAGTACTGATTTTCTAGGGGCAAGCAGCCAAACCTGAGTTCAGAACTGAGTTCTCTGTCTGGTAACACCTTGATCTCAAACTTCTAGCCTTGGGACTATAAGACAATACATGTTTGTTGTTTAAACCATCTTGTCTGTTGTACTTTGTCATGGCAGTCCTAACAAGCTAATATAAATGGTACAGGAGACGCCTACGGCATAGTGCCACCTATGTCACCATCCACTCATAAACCCTTATAGGCTTGAAGAGGCAGGTGAGATGGGAAACAAGTTATTGAATGCTACAAAAAAATAGAGATGGTAGGAAGATGCCTGTCTTGCAGAAGGTGAGACTTTCCTTAGAGGGATGCAGCTAGACAGAGAAACCCCTCAAGCTTGAAATAGCAGAATGAATACCTTAAATTTACTTTGTACTCTTGGATTTCAAAATATTCTTTTGATACCACCCGTTCATTGACCTTGACTGGAAAGCCATTGATGTAATCCACCAAAGTCCTACATTCAAGAAGCACAGAGTAGGATGGAGACGCATATTGATACATCTGGAGACAAAGGGAAATTTTTACCACATAATCAGTAGCCTTTAAAGTACATTTCATTTATTCACTTTTCAGTAAATGTCTACTAAAGTTTTATTTAAAATATTTATTTATTTATGTATTTATGTATGTATGTATGTATTTATTTATTTGAGGGGGGAGGGTCAGAGGGAGAGAAAGAGAGAGAGAGTATTAAGCAGATTCTGCACCGAGTGCAGATCCCCACTCAGGCTTGATCTCATGACCCTGAGATCATGACCTGACACAAAACCAAGAGTCAGACACTTAATTCACATGCCACTAAGGTATCTCTAAAATGCTTTTCAGCAAAAGATGCTATTTTAAAAACTTTAGGTATAGATAATACCACTTCATCATTAAGGATTCCCACAGAAAATACTAATCAGAAGGCACACAGAAGATAGGAGAAAAATGGCTAGTAGCATTAATTGTTGAGAAATTTTTTCAAAAAGAGAAACTTTCTATAATTTAAGCATTATTACACAAAAACAGTGAGAAAATATTTACTTTATTTGAAAATTAAAATTTGAAAGAGTATTATTGGGTGCCTGGGTGGCTCAGTGGTTGAGCATCTACACTTGGCTCAGGTCATGGTCCTGGGGTCCTGAGATCGAGTCCCACATCAGGCTCCTGGCAGGGAGCCTGCTTCTCCCTCTGCCCATGTCTCTGCCTGCCTTTCTTCCTTTCTCTGTGTATTAAATGAGAAATGTATTACCATTAATGTCTTTAATATCTCTCACTACTAAATACTGAAAAAAAAAATTGAAATTATTTTGTGGAAGATTCATCTTGGCCATATATTTTTTTTTAATGAGACTGCTCTTTCTTTCTTTCTTTTTTTAAATTTTTATTTATTTATGTTAGTCACACACAGAGAGAGGCAGAGACACAGGCAGAGGAGAAGCAGGCTCCATGCACCGGGAGCCCAATGTGGAATTCGATCCTGGGTCTCCAGGATCGCGCCCTGAGCCAAAGGCAGGTGCTAAACCACTGCGCCACCCAGGGATCCCTCAACCTGATTCCTAACCACCTCCAGAACTTGCTTTAGGCAATGCCAGTTCTGACTAAAGTCCCAAGGGCTGAGGAGAGCTTCAGCTACCCACCTCCTAGAGCAGCCAGGCCAGCTCAACATGCCCTACACCAGATGGCACTGTGGGCAGTGGGTTCTCAGCAAGGGCAGAGCATGATGGGACGCCCACCCTTCCTCAGGCCAATGCAGGAGGAGGCTGAGGTTCCTACCTCCAAGACCTCAAATTTGGCCATCTTGACTTTGGACCACGTTTTCTTCAGCCTCGCCACAGGACTGAGGTTCATGCCACCTGCAGGGAACAGCGGGTAGGGTCAGGATGGCAGTAGGCAGGCCACACAAGAGCTGGCTAGGGAGGCCCGGGGCCTGGACACTCACCGATGATGGCCATCATGGAGATGAAATTCCCGATGTTGAAGCACCCCTGGGCCACATCAATAAAGAACTCGAGCATGCGGGTCTGGTGCTTCTTCTTCACCATCTTGAGAGCAGCCAGACAGCCTCAGGGTGAGCCAACCGTACGAGCATCCCTCCACCACCCGTCCCTGAAGGGCAGGCTGGACAGGAGCCACCCTGGGCCCTCAGTGCTGTCAGACCCAGGGTTGGGGAGATTCCCATGGGCTGCAGAGGCAGGAAATGCAGCGGTGGCATCTTCGATGCTGGGCAAGGGGCAGGAGAGCAGTCCGAGATCACTAAGGGAGCGAGCCCCAGATAAACTCACAGACTGCGCTGGTACACTCCACGGATGGGTGTGTCTCAATCACTGGGAGACTGGCCAGGGCACCGGGGGGGGTAGTGGTGGTAGGGGCAGCAGGGATGTTGGTGGCCCTGGAATGGAGGCTTCTGTCTCCACTTTCAGAGTTTTATCATCTGAGGGGTACAGAAGTTAGAGCCCCAGGCAGCCTCGTGGGTTTGGAGAAGGGACAGTGCCACCCTACACACATGGGCTGTGCAGTGCTTACCCGGCACACCTCGGTGGCCACTAGCATGCTAAGGCAGTTGGACCAGTTGTCATAGGCCTCCAGGCTATAGGTCTTGGTCAGGTCCCCTCGGCACTGGTAGAGCACACACAGCAGATCACAGGGAGCATGAGGACCCTGCCAGCAGGTGCCGCCCCAGTCCTACCCCCGGAAATGAGCTGGCACCATGGCCAAAAGAGACTGAAAAGGACAGTGGGCTATGGGCAGCTGGACAGGCCCAGGGCTCCCAGGACGCCCCTCCCCAAGCTCCTGGGAACACTGGCCCCTTCCAGTCTGTATCACCCTGCATTGCTGTCTGCAGACCCCGTGGAACAGGCACTAGGCCAGACCCATTCAGTTGTGAGGCCCCCACCCTGCATGGGGTATAGACAGGGACCCCCTTAAGGCCACCCACGAGCACACAGCAGCCCCTCACCCTGTGCTTGTCCCGGGAGTCCATGTGGCTGACCATCTGCATCAGGTCCTCAGGGTGAATGCTGCTGGCCCTCTCCTAGGATGGGCAAGGACGGGAAGGTGACAAGCCTGCCATTCTTGGGCCCCATACCCAAGGTGTGGGCCACATTCAGAGTGGCAGTCCAGACCTTCCTGCACGTGTGTGCCACAGCCTCTCCTTGATCAGAGCATCCAGCCAGTGGGGCAGGTTCTGCCCACCCCCACCCCCAAAGGTACCCTCGGGGTCTGGAAGACCTTCCCCTGGGAGGGGAGGAAACAGGGCTTCATGGGAGTGAGGCCTTGGGGCAGTGGCAGCTAGCTACAGGGTACCTTCCAGCCCACGGCATAGGCAAGACGAGGAGACGGGGTGGGGGGAACTGGCTCTCCCCTCCAAGCCCTTCACCTCCTGGGCCAGTCCTCTATCCTGTGGCCACTGCAGTCCCATCACCCCAGCCCCTCCCATGCACAAAGGGCTGCTGTGATCCTGGGGACCCAGAAGCACAGGTTTGAGCTGGCACGTGAGCTTCACCTGACTCCCCAGTCTGACCGACCAGCGAGGAGGCACCGATGAGTGAGCATCGGTGATACATCCTACCCCAAGCAGTGCATGCTGTGGCACTGACCAGCTCTAGATGAGTCAGCTGCTGGGCCAGCACCAGTGGGTCGCAGCACACGCCCAGGATGTCCTTCTGAGTGGCTGGGGACTTAGCCTTGAGGACAGACCCTTTGTCCATGGCTGGTGAGCAGAGCTTCTCCCGAAGCTCCTGTAGCTGGCTTCAGGCAGCCAGAGACAGCAGCAGGCTCTGTGTCATTTGGGCAATGGCCTTCTTCACTGTGCCATTCTCCTGTGAAGGTAGGGGACAGTGAAGGTGCTGGTGTGAGCTGGCAAGACCATCGCCTCTCCAGAGGAACCCATCTCCTCCCTAAGGATCTGCCTAACTTTGAGCCCACATCCCTACTCAAATCTGCCATGAATATTCGGGCCTTTGAGGACAGAATGGAACACAGTGGGAGCTCCTCTAAGTCCTGCTGAGGGTGGCTCAGCTGCCTATGCTGTGGGGATGGGAGCTGAGGGCCAGGCCCAAGCCAGGGGTAGAAAACCATGGCTTTCCCAGGAGCACACAGCTGAACCACTTTTGGTCTTCCCACAGTAAGGCAGCCTACAGTAGGGAAGAGAGCATCCTCTAGGACCCGGAACCTTCACTCCCTGCAGGGGGAACAGCCCCGGCCCTGCCCAGAGCTCTCCCTGGGCTTTGGGAGCCCTCAAACCAGACAAGACGCAGAGCACACAGAGTACTCCCCAGGTTTCCTGTCTCCACAAAAGGCCGGGAGTGAGCTGGGAGGCCAGAACTGCAAACCGGCTTTTACTAGGCTCCCACTCCACTCACCCCAAACCCAGGAAAGGGTAGGGCCTGGGCTCATTCCAGCCCACTACTTAGGCCACAGGGTCTCTCACATGCCAAGTGTGCCAAGGCCCATGGCTGGACAGCTGAGCAGTCTGGGGATGGGTACAATGGAGCCACCCAGTCATCTTAAAAGGGGACAGCATAGAAGACTGCATAGAGAGCTGTCCCTGAAGACCCGCCCTCCTGTGAGAGTAGACCCTCTCCCCCAGACATACACACACGGAGCTCTGCAGGGCCCCAGGGAAGACCTCACCTCCTCAGACCGTGTGACCCGGTGAGTGATGGCCTTCAGTTCGGCCATCGCCTTCTCATCCTGGAAGTCATAGGGGAAGGCCTCTGTCCACTCCTTAAATAGCTGTACGATCTTGGCTGAGAAAGACTTGAGCTTGGCCTGAGGTGGCAGGACGTAGAGCAAAGTCACCCTCCACAGTGGGCAAGGAGATAAAAAGTGGTACGAGCCTCCCCCTCTCCTCCGGGTCTGGGGTGAGGGTGCTTGGGAGGACCATCCCCTCCTTGTCCCCTGTGGATTCTGTTGTGCCTGCTTTGTTTCCTATTCCCCTTAGTACAGCAATTTCACTTAAACGCCTTTTCAAAAAAATGTATCCTCTACCATGAGATAGGAAACTAATTTCCTTTGTTGTTCTTAGAAGTCACCCATTTAAAATAACTGAAAACCAAGCAAAATTATTGAATGAGAGACTCTCGCCTGCCCCCTCAGTTAAAAGCAGGTGGGCAAGTGCTGGGAAGGGGTGCAGATGCTCAGAGGCATCCCCTCTCCCTGCTTCACGTCACTAAAGGTGGGCGGGCACCCCTGCCGTTGCCGGGGCCACACACATAAGGCCCGAGGACGATGTGCCCAACCTGGTCCTCAGTGCCCAGTCCCACACTGTCCCGCTAAAATGACCACAGGTGCCAGCACCCCTTCTGCACCCACCAGGCTCCTCCTCAGCACTGACCAGCTCCTGCCTGCCTGGGCCTGCCCTCCAGGCTGCTCTTGCTGCCCTGTGGTCCTCTAGCCACTCCTCATCCCCACCTTTTTGGCCCACATCTGCCCCACCCCTGCTGAGCTGCCTCCAGCCTGCCTGATCCTGGCCACAGGCCCAGCTGGTTCTCCCCGGGGCTGGGCTGCATCCTGAGCAGTGCAGGTGCTAAAATTTTCAGGAAAAAATTAGCCATTGTGCAATGCACTCTGATATTATCTACAGGGTTTGTTTTTTTTAAGATTTTATTTATTTATTAATTCATAAGACACACACACACAGAGAGAGAGAGAGAGAGGGAGAGACACAGGCAGAAGGAGAAGCAGACTCCACACAGGGATCCCAACGTGGGACTCCATCCCAGGTCTCCAGGATCAGGCCCTGGGCTGAAGGTGGCACTAAACCCACTGAGCCACCCGGGCTGCTCTCTACAGGGTTTTTAAAAAATATTATTTTTAATAAATAAAATCTATTTTAGAGAGAGAGCAGGTGTGAGGGGGAAGGGGCAGAGACACAGGGAGAGAAGCATATTCTGCTGAGGATACAGCCCAACATGGGGCTCAATCCCACGACTCTTGAGATCAAGACCTGAGTCAAAATTAAGAGTCAGATGCTTAATTGATGGAAATAACCAGGTGCCCCTTCTTGCTTTCTTTGATTAACATTTGTATGGTATATCTTTTCAATTTACTCATACTGTTACATTTGAAGACTTCCTTATATACGGCATATAGTTGGTAACGTGTTTTATCCTAAGTCTGCCAATCTCTATTAATTGGTTTATTCAGAACCATTTACCTTTAGTGTAATTATTTTTTGGGATCCCTGGGTGGCACAGCGGTTTGGTGCCTGCCTTTGGCCCAGGGCGCCATCCTGGAGACCCGGGATCAAATCCCACGTCGGGCTCCCGGTGCATGGAGCCTGCTTCTCCCTCGGCCTATGTCTCCGCCTATCTCTCTCTCTCTCTGTGTGTGACTATCATAAATAAATAAAAAATTTAAAAAAATATATTATTTTTATTTATTCATGTGAGACACACAGAGAGAGAGAGAGAGAGAGACAGGCAGAGGGAGAAGA